TGGTAATTATAAGCCAATTTGTTGACCGATTTCGTTAGTAGTTTCATTAATTTTATCAGTCATATTACGTGATTGTCAAGTCATGACAATGCTTTATGACGATATCCTGAAACTATTATGTTTAACTAGTTATAGTGTTGAATGAGGATTAGTCAGTGGAAAAATAGGTATTTTTGCTTTGCTTTAGGTGATTCGAAGTTATCAGAAATTTAGAACGTTAAAGAATCCGAGACGCCTAATCTAATTATAAATTTCAATTCAGAAATATTCGTCTAGTGTTAATTCTAGTAGGCTACGGAGTTTTGATTTTAAACGTTTGTTTAGCCAACAGCTACCTGAGGATTTAGTTATTTTACTAGTTCAGTTGATAGTACCTAAATTTTTAATCTTATTATCTAAACTATGTTCGCATTTTAGGCTGCTAATATGATAAACCAATCCATAAAGCCAAATACGATTAGCAACAACGACTATGATGGGTTTATTGATAAATGTTAAAGACGATTCAGATGATTTCTAAATTTAGAAGACATGAAGATATAGTGCAACGCGTGTGTGGGTCAGGTTAACATGCAGGTTCTTGACGTATATGACAATTTAAAAATAATGAACATGACCAGGAAAAGTAATTTTAAAGTCAAGACTGCTTATGAAACTTCAAGCAGGAATGTAACGCATTATAAACTTTCCATGAGAAATTCCTGCATTTAGCCTAGAGACACTTACAAATATATGGCACAAGCAACTGGAAAACATATACATGTTAAGTACCAAAAAATCATCCAGTAAAATAGCTGAACTCGCCTTGATTATTTTTGAAAATTAGATTATTCAGTGGACGACATATATAACGCCATTCGTGAGTAGTGTTGATCCAAAAGCATCCAGAATAAAACATGCAGTATGGCAATTAATTCCAGGGTGCTTGATGCTGTTGAGGTTTTTGACACTCGCTCGGATCAGAACAATCGAATGAATCCAGATAATTGTATGGTTGTCATTGAACGAACCATCTAAAAATGATTGCAGAAAACTTATAGCTGAAACTCACCGTATGTTTTTGGAGTAGTCATCCTCGTTGTTTGGCAATGGAACTCGAGAATATGAAATTAGGCAGGCAGTGGTCGGAAGAAAAGATATTACAGGATAGTGCATAGTTTAAAACAGGATGAGGTGTTAAGTGAAGGAACACTGAGAATTAGATCCAGATAACTATTTAGTCCTTGATCGCATTGTTAGTCAATGTATATTCACGCTATTTACAGGTCATATTTGCTAGAGCTTGATGTTTAAACAAGACTATGTCGCTGAAGCATGTAAATGCTATTACAGCTTGTTAACAAACCATCAAAGCTAATTAGTTAGTATAGACGACCAGTTTTTATTATCGATTGAGCTAGTTTGTCATGAGGACTAATCAATATAACATTACGATAATGCATGTGAGCATTAATCAGAGGACTATTAGAATACAGGGTTAACATAAATATAAAATCGATCGAGAAAGTTGAAGTGGAAATAAGGATTAATAATAATAGGTTGCGTTTCTTTAGTTGGGCTCACCAATGTAGAATTATGGTCTACTATGATATTAGTACTGCTCTAATAATAGACCTAATCCTAAATTTGTAGATTTGTCATGATATAACTGCCTAATCTATAAGATCTTACGTGGAAGTCACACCATCGACTACACCAACTCACTGTATCGTATCAATTACCAATACATGATGTAAAACAAGGTTAGGCTAAAGAAAGAACAATATATTTAATACGAATAGAAGATATAAGGTAACATTCAGCAGAGACCACGCCTGCATGGCCGAGCCATGCCACTCGATCAACTCCAGTCCGTTCAATTCATTCTTCGCGCCTTCTCCATCGTTAGGTATTTATCCGCGTTAAATATTGAATATCTATTTTCTGAGTAGTCTCGTGTTCAGCTTTGTGGATTGTGCGGTTATTGTTCAATGCCACTACACTACCACTGTCCATCCTTTCTTTGGCTTCAGTTTCACTTTAACAACCCCCAGGTGGTAATTTAAGGATATGTCAGCCCTTCTCTTTGTTCTAAGATCGTCTACTAACCTTCCGAAATTTTAGTGATACAAACATGATGGATTTGGTTCTCTGTAGTGTGATCCGGTGAGACCCATATAGCTTTGTGTATGCACGTAAATGTGAAAATCGCTCAACATCCCGATTTTGTCATTCGTACCTCGCATCAGGATGGTCAGGTATTTTACTGGTTACTTCCACACGATTGACTTCAGTCTCTCGTAAAAAAGTTGACCTTTATTGTTTTCATTCATATCACTGGTGGGTGCCCAGTACTGGATAGTATTTGTGGTGGCATTAGGCCCTAATACGAGACAATGTGCAACATTTAACACGGAGAAAAACCCAACGATGGAGAGGGCGGGAACAATGAATTGAATTCATTGGAGTTGATCGTATGACATGGCACGGCCATGCAGGCGTGGTCTCTGCTGAATGTTACCTCATATCTCTCATTCATATTAAACATATTGTTCTATCTTTAGCCTAAGTTTGTTCTCCATAATGTATTGGTGATTGTTACAATGTAGTGATTCGGTGTAGACGATGATGTGACTTCCACGCAAGATCTTATAGATTAGGCAGTTATATCATGACAAATCTACAATTCTAGGACTAGGTCTATTATTAAAGCACTACTAATATCATAGTAGACCATAGTTCTACATATTCATTGCAGTCCATTCCTTCTTTGTTTTGAAGAATGCTTTGATGATTGTGGATCCGTGAGATTTCCATCACTCAGGTACTTTTCGTGCTTCTCCCGACAGCATCAGAACATTTTCTTCTTCATGACCAGAGTGCAATTGCATCGCTCCCAAATCTATCCTTTTCTGTACATGTAGTGTCTAACGGGTTTCGCCTATTCCGAGAGCCGCCAAGTTGTATTTACTCATTTACGCAGCTATCTGTTCGGCATTCACTATGACGCGTCATAATTCTGCAGAATGAAGACCGTTCAACTCCCATAGTCCAGTCTAAATGGCTTCTTTTGTCTATTTTGACTGGGTTTTTTCGTAGAAATTTTTTCTGCTGGATTAGTTTTATGTTTCCACAAATAACGCCCCATTTTACTCCGCCTTGGCACCGGCAATAACCCTAGAAGAATTACTGACGAGGTTGATCGGTTTTTAGCGTGGTGTCGAGTTGAAGTTAACTATGAACACCGCTACCAAGAAACACGTGCCAAGTAAATCAGAAGGCGTAGGTTGAACGTAACCAAATAAATCCATAAAATCCCCGAGTAGCCAAATATCAGAAGGCAATTAATGGACCAAGTCGAGATATATTCGCTGGCGATCTCGTGGTATCAAAAGGATACCGAGGTCGTGCCAGGATACAAACTTGGTTACAGAACGTAACCGAATTCGCGCGAAGTCACAATCAAAGTTTGTGTATAAGAATGGAAGCAAAATATAGCTGTCATTAGCACGGTCAAACAAAAGCACATTAAAATAAACACTGGTACAGCTGGTTATAATAATGATTGTTTTTATTAAACCAGTCGTGTTCTCGTGATAAATGTGAGTCACTACAGGTTGATCACTGACATAAGTGTTCCGAGTTTATAAAAAGAACTGGTTTAAAAACTTAAAAGTGAAGTGAATGAGCTTGACTTATAATCTGTGAAAATTTCAAACTATATGCTTTATCTCCGCGATGAGACACATTATCAAGGTCGCTTGAGCTCGCGTTTGGTTAACAGTTGAAATATAAGGAGTGACTCAATGAATAACTGAAAATTACTATACAAAGATAAATACAATTTCCGTAAATTTTTGTCATGTAGCAAACTTCACCAATATAATTCATGTGCATTTCGTCATGTTGCATGCTTCAGGTTTGATAAAACTGAACAAATCAATTTAAGTAACACGTGAACGCACATTTACATAATCACACATATAAGCATAGAATCACCAGGACATAATCATATAGAATTATGGTCTAATTCATTATTAGTACTATTATAATATGACCTAATCCCATAATTGCAAATTTGTCGTGATGCGACTACCTAGTCTATAACATTTTAAGTGAAAGTCCTGTCATTGTCAATCCTTAATTGTCGTATCATGACACTCAGCGATAAGATGCTCAGCACTTTTTGACTGGGGAAAGAATAGTGTATTCAATGTGGAAATACATCGGTTACACAAGAATGACCACGCCTGAATAGCTGAGCCACACTATCTGATTAATTAATTGCCCGAGCGTTCTCCATTGCTGACCCTCGCTCCGTGTTAGTTGTTGAATATGAATTTTCCCAATAATCATATGTTCAGCTTCAAGATCATGTGGTTAGTAACCACTACAAACATATGAAGAGTATTTCATGAATGTGACCGATTCCTACGAAAGAAAGGTTAGAAAGACTCAACGACCATATGCTATCCAAGTTATTAGTCAGCCTGAAGCCTAGGATAAATAATGAAGTGTTCAATACGATATGCTACAACATATATATATCTTCAGGATGTGTATGTGACAATTCTAAAAACATCGAAGAGGTTAGCTCCTAATTCTATTGTGGTTGCCGTCAAAAACGTATCTGAAAGAAAAACCTGTTATCCTAGTCAAGGTCTCGAAGTAAAGTCCTCATAGACATTCTAGCTGTGAGAGTGTCTTATTAGTACTGCGGATCCTAATTAATAGTGAGTCAACTGCCCATTATTCTCGTTTGGTCAGTTAAACTCCACTGAGCCCTACCCCAACGTGTTTTGCGGGGCAACATGAAATAAGCACCTTACCATACTAAACACAATTAGGGATCAGTGGTCTCGTAAGACGCAATAGGTAAACTAACTGAATAAGACAAGTGTGTCATGTCTGTCCGTCATAAATATGTTTTAGAAAACGACGAACGCCCTAAAAACCTAATAATTAATCTCTAAGTCTAACATCATAAAATGTACATAGTTTGATTATTGGCAAAAGGGATTATTTTGTGGAGCTGAATACAAACATTGCGTCACACCTCGTGTTTCGTTTAGAATTGGGACCTGAGTTGTCGTACTACCATCTTTTTGCCTTTGCAGTAATGTAAGTCAAACATTTAAAATTTATGTTGAAAATCCGGTCAACGTTTTACTCCTGTAACTAACTGGTTTTGTACTCACGTTAAACGTTCTTGTTATTAATCATGTCTCAATCAACCAACAAAGCGGAAATAAAGGCTAACAAAGGGGAAAATGCGTTGGAAAATAAAGGGGGAACGCACCAAAATATCTGCTTTATCGCCTGTCCGGGGGAAATAATGAGGATTTTCCCCTTTTTGTCTCTCAAATGTCGCCGAATTGTCTAACTTTCGCCTAAATATCCGCTGAATTGACTGCTTTTCGCCTAGATATCCGACGAATTGTTTACTTTTGGTCCAACTTTTAAAATACCACTGGCATAACCCCAAAGGTCTCCCATGTTCGCCTTTATCCCTACAACAAACCACAATAAAACTGTAATCCACGGGGAAAATGGCATATGTTTGAATAACTTTATTGAAAAGGAAAATTGTGTTATTGTACAACATTATAGCAGGAGTTTGAGCATCAATCGTGATGCATTTTCATTGTAATTTCCAACTCATTGTTATTTGAAAAGATCTGCAAAAGAAGAAACAGGTGATGTATTATTAATAAGGCATGTGCATTTAATCGCAAGTTCACTGACAATCAAACAATCTTTCTCGACACTTCAATAGTTTCCCATCTAAGTAATAAAGTAAGCTCATTTACAAAATAAAGTTTATTAAAAAATAAATAGAACATAAAAGACATTTCACGGATTACTTCGTTTAGTGACGCATTTTCGGCTATTGAGAATGAAAATAATCTTCCTGTGAGTTCTGAAATGTAAAGAACAAGAAAAGTTACAATTATATCTGAATGACATGCCTTGGCACAGCCAGATACCTGAAGCTTCACTTACGGTTATGCTCGTTAAAACCGTTGACTGTAACTATAGAGCAGTAGGGAAGTTATCACTTTAAATTAGTACATACCTGTTCTTTTTTCCTCCCATTACGCTTTGTCAATTTATCTCTAACACCGTGAAAATAACCTTGTGTCGCGATGTCGTACAGCTTCACAAGGTCTTTTTCGTTGACAGTCAGTCAGTAACAACGTAGAACTTCGTACGTACGTACATCAGTTCGAGTTGCCACACCACATTAGCACAGAGATGCAGTTGTCGATTCAAATCCCGTAGTGGTAGAGGTAATAAGAGTATAAGCAGTAATCGGGAAGATTAGGGTTTGGAGATGTTATTTAAAGAGTATAATTCAGTGAAATAAATTTGGAAAGAGGAAAAAAGGGACATGAAGAATTCAGAAGATTAGAATTTGGGAGAACACATAGAGTGGATGCACCTGCGCCATTGCAAACGATTTTGGGCCATGTCATTCAGGATCTCTAACCATCGGTTGCTATCATCTCGCGGTCCCCAACCAGGTAGTCTACACCTATCAACATGACTCAGTTCACTTGTCAGTGACTTCATGGACTTGTGCCATGTTTTGGTTTGGCCGCCCCTAGCTTTCTTCCAACCTACTCCTATACCACTGAACATAGCACGTCGAGGCAGTCGGTCGTTGGGCATACGTAACACGTGTCCCAGCCATCTCAACTGATGAAGTTTCACTACTCCATCAATTGATTTGCCATCCTTACCTAGTACCCGTTTCCTAACAACTGTGTTACTTACTCGATGGTCCCATGATATACGAGCAATGTTTCGAAGACACCTATGATCAAATACTAGTAACCTACGGATATCCTCTACTCTTACCGGCCATGTTTCACTGCAATAAAGTAGGACAGAACGAACTGCTGCGCAGTAAACACGTCCTTTGGTTGATAGATGGATATCTCGCCTACGCCATAAATGACGCAAGTTGGCAAGAGCTAGTCGAGCCTTCTGTATCCGTGCTGAGATTTCGTCACACACTAAACCACAAGGGCTGATGAGACTTCCAAGATAAGTGAAGCGGTCGACACACTCAACTACTTCACTCCCTATCACTAGTTCGGGTGTCGATGTAACCCAATCCTGAAGCAACATTTTGCATTTCGAGGGAGAGAATCGCATCCCGAACATGCTTGCATTGCTGCTTAGAGTGGTCAGAAGACTCTGCATTTTGTCAGCGTCTTCACCAAATAAAACTATGTCATCTGCATATTCTAAGTCAACAAGTGAACCTCCCGGTAGAAGTTCAACCCCTGGAAATTTAGATGAGGAGAGTGTTATCTCTAAACGTACGTCCACAACAAAGTTGAACAAGAATGGGGAGAGTGAGCAGCCCTGACGAACACCACTTGAGGTAATCAATTCTGATGACAGTTCGCCATAAACTCTCACTCTACCAGTTGTGTTCGAGTAGAGAGCCTTTATAAGGTTAATGTACTTCTTTGGTACTCCTTTCAGTGACAAACACTGCCATAGAACCTTACGATCAACAGAGTCGAATGACGCCTTAAGGTCCAGAAATACTACCATTGTGGGGCGTCTGAATGTGTGTCTGTGTTCTAGAACCTGACGTAGTGTGAATATCTGATCTATACAACCACGCCCAGGTCGAAAACCGGCCTGGTTTTCTCTAATCTGCTCTTCACGAGCTTTGATTAGGCGTCGAAGTATTATTGAAGCTAATATTTTAGACACTATATTAGTCAAACTGATTCCTCTGTGATTGTCACAAGAGGACTTTTGTCCTTTCTTATAGACTGGCACAATCAGTGATTGAGACCAGTCAGATGGGATTACGTCCAGTTCCCAAATTCTACCTAAGACCTCGGTTAATCTCATTGCTAATACTGGACCACCATCCTTAAAAATCTCAGGAGTAAACCTGTCAGGGCCCCGATCGAAGCTGCCACCTTGACGCAGTGGTCGGGCTTGCCTATCGTGATGACCCAACCGAGCTATCGAGCCCCTCCATCAGTGGCTGATAGCTATGTGATCTATTTGGGTCCAACCTTGGGACGAATTAGGGGGCCGCCATGTTAAAAGATGTTTTTCCTTATGCTTAAAGTTAGTATTTGCAAGGAACAGGCGGTTATCTGAGCATAGCTGCAACAGACGGTCGCCATTATCTGTTCTTTGAGCCACGACACCATAAGATCCACCTAGGTGTCTTTCCCTATCGCTTAGTTTACCTACTTGAGCATTAAAGTCACCGGCCACTATTACTACATCCGAGCACTTAGCTTTTCGGAGAAGGTCCGAAAGCTTTCTGTAAAACTCATCTTTTACATCATCTGAGCTGCAGTCAGTGGGAGAATAGGCAGAGACGACGAAGAGGCAACGACGAGTGTCCCTATCTTTCCGGATTCTTACTGTTCCGTTCAGTCTGACAGCGCACAAACGACTGTCTACTGGGATCCACTCTAAGAGAGCTAGTTCTGTCCTAGGACTCAATGCTATACCTACGCCGGCGAAGCCACGGGAAGCAGAATCAGGGCTTCCAGATACACGAAGCGTAAATCGAGTCGGTTCTTTATTTTGGCATGGTGAGGTCAAATGAATGACGCTACTCGGATCCTGTATGCGCGTTTCGGAGACGCAGAACACATCGATGGCGCGAGATTCTAAAGTTTAAGCTAAGGAAGCCTGCTGTCCTATTTGGCAAAGTGTTCGTACGTTAAAAGCTCCTACGTGTAGTTTAGAGCGTGGTTTCAGGAGACCAGAAATGGCGTTCCACGTACTCGAATCGTTTGCCCTAGCGGTGCGATGTGATAGAGAGACGTGAGGAGGGTTAGTCGGGGAGATAAGAGAGGTATTAGAAGGTGTAGGAAAGATTTGAATGTGACCACCTTGGTCTCTTGTGCTGTTACGGGTATGAGGGCTGATGTCACTTTCCGGCTGCCCACACCGTGGAAGGGTATTTCTTGAGGAACCTGAAAAGGAAATTGGATTAGTGTTAGTCTTGACGACCTGGGAGCGTGACCGCAGAGCCCAAGGGACAACTGCTTGAGGCCGGTCGCACACGGCCTTTTTGTGGAAGGTTTTTGACGTGTTAGCTCCGTTCTTCAAAGGGCCTTACCGCCGGAGATGGAAATCCGTGAGGTAAAGTGAGGTGTGACATTTTTAGGGTCGACCTTTTCTAACCCCACCCCTCCTTGTGCGAAGGCAGCATCGCTGTCATGCTGGTTGTCCGAGGGAAACACCTTACTGCTGTCACACCCCTCTACAGTCAGCAGTACGACTTCGCCCTCAGACCTTGAGTTGCTGCTTTTAGTCTTACCGTTCACCAATCGACCTGCCTGGCATGGTAGAACCTGCAGGAACATATGTTCCAGCCAATATAGCTCGGTTGGGTCATCACGATAGGCAAGCCCGATCACCGCGTCAAGGTAGCAGCTTCGTTGACAGGGGATGACAAAAAGCGATTTGTTAATGCACCTAAAGTTAAGATAATAGATATAGGTTACTTCGTAAGCAGCCGTAAAACCGGCATTTCTGAAGTGCTCGTTTTGAAGAAGTGCCAATTAGCGTAAAATTACTGGTCACCTCAGGTGTCATGAGATGAGACAAAACATATCGCATTGAGGTTTTAGGATCATCATCCATTGATCTCGTTACCATTGCCATGTGTAATACGAACAAATTATTAAATTAATGTTGTTGATTTACAAACCTGTCCCTGGTTTCTTCCTGCTGCAAACCAGTGTCCAGCATCTGCAGTTCCTCTTCAGATGACGAAGGGAACTGCTGACTTGATAGTCCGCATTCGAATTGATGCGGATGTTCGCGTTCACTGAACTTCGCTGGTAACAGCTTTACATTTGTACTCAAGTCAGTGATACCTGACGACATGTTCTGCACCATTGTATACAACCTATCAAATCTTATAAACTTCATTTGATAGTACTGGTGACTTACTGGGCCGCTGAAACACAGCCTACATGCTTAGATTCTAATGTTGACGGTGATGTATCTAATTGTGTCGAACTAATTCATTAACATCTAAATAGTAATGAAATGTACTGGGCAATTGGCGAGGCGACTCTGTCAAACAACCGAAATTTCGGATATTGTACGTGGCTATT